GTCAACGTAGAGGTAGATGCAGCACCACAGCAAGACCTGACAAAGATCATGGCTGAAATCCGTGAGCACTACGAGGCCATTACTACCAAGAACCGCAAAGATCTTGAGGCTTGGTTCCAGGCTAAGGTAAAATCAGATGTTTTTAAAGAAAGGGCAATATTTTAATGTAAAACAACAGACGACTTATCTGACTGCTTTGCTATGGATTTCCTCTCATAGAGTGAAACCCTCAACAAGGAAGTTGTTGTGAGCACAGAAACCATTCAAACATCCCGATCTGAAATCACAGAGCTTAAACGCACACTCCAAAGTCTTGAAATCGAGCTACAATCACAACTCAGTATGGTAAGCAAGCAGAGATGACTCTTGTAAACGTTGGTCAACACATTGCATAGAACGCAGAGTAACTAACATTTCCCCAACAGAAAGCATCGCTGGAAGGCACTTTGGCAGACACACAGGCCCGCTACTCCGCAATGTTGTCCGACTACCAGTTCCAGGTGACCAGCATGGAGCAGCAGCTGGTGCAGCTTCGTGGCGATCTGGAGCGTCAACGGCAAGATTATCAGATGCTTCTGGACATCAAGACCAGACTGGAGATGGAGATTGCAGAGTACAGAAGACTGCTGGATGGAGAGGCTACAAGGTAAGAAACAAATAAAACACAGTCTCTTAATAACAACATTTAAATAGTGTCACATTTTTGGTTTATTATAATAAACAGAATTAAAGTGAGATGGAGATTTCTGTAATATTCTTTGTTTTCTACCTCTGCAGCCTCTCTACTTCAAGCACAAGCACAAGCACATCCTCGACTACACGCAAAGTGGTAACCATTGTGGAAGAGGTTGTGGACGGCAAAGTGGTCAGCTCATCCTCCCAGTCTAAAAGCGAGGTCTCGTCTCAGAAGCTCTCTTGAGCAAAAACAGCCAAACTTAGAGTGATGAAAAACCAATAAACTGCACTAATGGTGCACTAACTTTGCATTCCTAGCGTTTGTCTTATTTTCTTCTGTTTTGTTGTCATATTTTATGACACAGTGTGAAAAGACATGCAAAAAGATTTTAAATTAAACTACAGATCTGCTAGTATTATAGCCTAGTTGTGTGTAATATTAACAGTTACAAAAATGAATGAACGTTAACTATAAAGACCAAATTACATTTCTGTTCTCGATTATCAATACAAAACTTGAAATTAGAAAAAGTTGCTGATGCATTAAATGACATTAAATCAGGCTAAAGTTCATTTCTCTACCAAGGAAATGTCTTTTTAATAATTAAATCCAATTACAAAAATAAGCTAAATTTTCACATTTAGAACAATTATTAAATCTCTCTCTAGTGTGTACACATCTTTGAAAACATTTATGCATTACTGGTACAAGAACAGGCTGGGAAATCTGAAATATGACAAATGTCGTAATGCTGTGATATGAGGTCATTTACTTTACTGTGCTGTGCGGGGCAAACACTTGCAAAGGCAATAAAATAAAAGCAAATATAAGTTACACAACCATTCTGTTCACTCGGTACCACCGGTACTTAAAAAAACCTGGTTCCGTAACGTTTTCATTTGTTTAGTACCGACTTGGTACCGAAGTACCGGGTCTTTTGGCAATACTAAGTGATAGAAATTAATCTACCAATAAGCTTATATATATATATACACATATATATTTATTTATTTATAAGCATTTTTACATTTATAAAGCCATTTTTCTTAAAGTCTAATCATCTTTTTGTGTCAAATTCTTGCATATAAGTTGTCAATTAGAATAACGAGACATTTAGGCTGTTACCAAACAAATGGTATAATTATCAACTAAATTAATCTTTGGAATGCAGAGGAAACACAGAAGATGCATCTGAATAGGCATTTAGATGTATTTACACACTACTGATTAGTGCAGAACATGAATGCATTTAACCTGCAATTACAAATTTGTAAACAGTTTTGTACAAAGTAAAAATCATTTAAACGGTTGATTCATTCAGGAACGAAACACCGTCATGTTGCTCAGAGACGCAAAACAGTGCTATGGCTGTGTTTGGAATGATTTTTGTTGTCGAAATTGAACAAAAACAGGCTATTTGGTGCCTATAACATAAGTCTCTTAATTAACTTCTTGTTTTTTGAACTGTTGTAATATATATATATATTTTTATTTATTTATAAGTATTTTTATATTTATAAAGCCATTTTTCTTAAAGTGTGCATCATCTTTTTGAGTCAAATTCTTGCATATAATTTGTCAATTAGAATAACGAGACATTTAGGCTGTTACCAAACAAATGGTATAATTATCAACTAAATTAATCTTTGGAATGCAGAGGAAACACAGAAGCTGCATCTGAAGTGGCATTTAGATGTCACACTGTTCAGAGGCGCAAAACAGTGCTGTGGCTTTGTTTGGAGTTATTTTTGTTGTCGAAAAAAAGAGCAAAAACAGGCAATATGGTGTCTAAGTCTCTTAATTAACTTTTTGTTTATTGAACTGTATATTAATATCACATAATTTTAATATCACATTTGAAATCATGTTGGTTTTTGAAGAAAATAAATTACATTGATATATAAATGATATTTATATAAACTATATTAACTGATATAAATGTATATATTTTCTGCTCCCATATCTTGAATTTTGTGATCATTCGAAATATATTTTAATAAACTGAATCACACAGTGAAAGAAAGCACTGTAAATGCGCACACGCACTAGTCTAACCTACTACACTTCATCACGCACTGTTTCTCTGGCATTTTCAAAGGCATGTAAAATATAATACTGTGGCTTGATTGGCATGATACACAGTCTAACGGTCTAACGAAATCAAATTTTAAACATCTTTTACGGTACCCATTTTATGGCCCTTATATTACCTATTTGAGTCAATGCAGATGAATGAAGTTATCTCAGGACGAGACCACCCTGATTGTAAAGCAAAACGTGATTGGCTATAGCGAGACTGTGCTACGATTGGTTAGCGAAATGTGGCTGTTATCTGATTGGCTTGAGTAGACGGTGGGTGGAGTCCACATATTTGTGGATTGTCAGCACGTCTTGACGGAAGAAATGTTTCACGATTCGCAAATGCACAGAACGCGATTCACAAATGCGAGCAGCTATCTACAAATGCACATGACGCGATTCACAAATAAATGCCAGGCAAAGTTGTGGTTGTGACATAAATATATATTTGTGAATATGTTTTTTATTTGCAAATCTCATTTTATTTATTTGTGAATTTAATTCATGTTTGTGAAACTTTAAGATTTATTTGTGGATCTCATTCTATTTATTTGTCAATATGTTTAATTTTTGTTAATCTCTTTACATTTATTTGTGGATCATAATCTATTTATTTGGAATTAAGCAACAATTCTATCTCCATATAAGGACATCGTTAAAATAGTCTGTGTGACATCAGTGGTTCAACTGTAATGTTATGAAGCTATGAGAATAGTTTTTGTGCACAAAGAAAACGCATGTGTCATGGTACTCTCGTGAATGTGTGACAAAGACTGACACGGAAGAGAATAAATTGATGAATGAAGTTGTTATTTTTGTTTTCTTTGCGCACAAATAGTATTCTTGTAGCTTCGTAAAATTACAGTTGAACCACTGATGTCACATGGACTATTTTAATGATGTCCTTACTACCTTTCTGGGCCTTGATCATGGTAGGTTGTGTTGCTGTCTATGCAGGGTCAGAAAGCTCTCA